TTTGGTATCGGAGCTGGTTTGATTCGCCACTTACCTTGGTGCGCTGGCGTTATACAGACTTGGTGCGTTGACGATGCTTCTTCGCAGTTGGTTCTTGTGACGTCAGGCCATGTTAGGCGCACAGCCTGGGTAGAGAGGTGTGCGCCGGAAGGCTAAGACGGCATTGATTGCCGTGGTGACAGGCGGAATGTATGATTGGTGATGAGAGCATGCTGATGTGGCATTAAGCTGAGGTGGCACTGCATTGCGTTGTGGGTGGTATCGAGGCTCAGACCGGTCATCAAATGCACACTCAGCTCAATTGGTGAGAAATCTGTGGCTGGGGGCAGCTATCTCCAGGTAAGTTGTTCCCTTACCTTGTCTACTCTCTCAATCTCTTCTTACCGTGAGGAAGTGAGTCCAACTTGAGAGTCCTCTCTTTTGGTGAGGTGTCGTGAGCGCGCTACCTTGAGAGACGACAATCTTCCCGRAAGCATCTGGAAGGAGAAAKGGCKGTGCCTCTGAAGGGCCCTGGTCAAAGCACTGGGTCACGGTCACCATGCCAACCCAATGGGAGTAGGTCACGCATGCGATGGCTGCTGTCCATTTTGGCACTTTGCTGCGCTGTAGAAGTCCTGCCGGGTGTGCCAGCCTTTTATGAGACGCTTACCAGACCGTCTATAAACCTTTCTGGTTGGGGACTCAGATTGAATCTGGCTGTGATCGTCGTCCTGACTGCGACGTTAAATAATTCCTGAAGAGATGGGGGCGCTCTTTAAATTCCTCCTGATCAGCCAGATCAACCGGGTGTAAGGCTCGTTCCGTAGGAGGGTGAATAAGAGCGGACTGGCTGGCTTGCTCGGCAACGACTTGGGCACAGGGGTGGGCCGAAAACACACACGAAGACACTGCTGCTCATTGATGCTATTCGGTATGTTGGATTGAGGGGAGGGTAGGTTCTAATTGATGCTCAACGGGATACACAACCATACCCACTGATCATACATCTGCAATATGGTTTTATTTTATTATTGATTAGTTGGTTGACAACTGCTAACACCTCACAGACAGATTAGAGTAGGACTGTTGTACTACCATAGCCAGTTCTATCTAATGCTGCTGTAAGTGAACTAATTAATATAGAACAAATACCATGTTGACAGTCTTTTGAGAATGTTGTAAGCTGCCACTTGATCGGTCAAGTAGGGGACCTGCCGGACACAACTATTTTTAGAAAATTAGGTGTCGGTCAGACACATGCTGTGGTAGGACTCCACTAGGGGGTAATGTTTGCCTAACTCATGAGCGGATCAGACAGCGATGAGGGTAGAGTTGACAATGTGAGACTTACACTTTCGGGAGCACTCAGGGTTCCGCACGTGTTCCAGACCCTACAACCGGGAGACGAACCACGGCTTCGTGCCGAACATAGAGCCCGTGCTCTTGCAGCAGCAAGGGCAGCAGCGAACCTAGCAGCTAGGGAACAGGCTGCAGACGCAGGCAGAGCAGCAGCAATGTCTAGTGCAGCGGCATCCTCCGCTGCAACGTCCGCAGCATCCTCGTCAGGGACCCATTTGGGAATGCCCACAGGGTCCACGGGTACTTCCAGTTCAGTAGGTTCTCGACAGTCTACAAGTCAAATGGCGGGCTCGCAGTTCAGCCCGTTGACCCCACGCGAAAGGGAATTTCTAGAGCTCCAACAGGTCGAGAGGATCCGTGAACGATTAGAGAGGGAACTGAAACAGGCAACCGATAGAGAGAGAGAAATTAAAAATAGAACAGCCAGGCTTGAAACGTTAGAGGCAGACAAAGCTGAGTTAGAGGGTTTGGATGAGACAGGACTGTCTGAACCAATGAAAGTATTGAAGAACAATATGCTGTCGCTGCATGCGCACGTGGACAACCGATTGGACTTTATGCAGAACACCCTAGACCAGATCCTGGACATTTTACAAAGGCCAGGATTTAGGCCAACAGCACAGTCGTCGTTACCGTTAACGGCGATGTCAGGCCCCTTTTCCGTACAAGCTGGCACACAACCAAGTGGCACGTCTACAGCAGTCTCACAGACTGTTGCTTCTTCTTCTTCAAGTCCGGCGGTAGGAGCTACACCACCGCAACAACCTGTTCCCCCACAGGGACAGCCGCAAGGTCCGTGGTACCCTAAGACCCCTATGAAACCACCTCTTGCCTTTTCGGGCGAGAAGAAGGACGAAGAGCTCAACACTTGGTTGAGAACAGTTCCGGTTTGGGTGAAGGCAAAAAGGACTTTGCAGGAGGAGGAGGTGATTACTGTTGCATCTTACCTTGAGGGTAAGGCAGCCAAATGGCTGGATGGTATAGTTACAAAGGCCGGGTATGGGAGACGCATGGCGGACTGGGCTCAGTCTCTTACGTTAGACCAGTTCTTGGAGATCGTAGAAGCTCGCTGGCACAATCCTCAGCAGGTGCAATTTGCCACTGATGCGATGAACAGACTAGACCAACGAAAGTTTAAGTCAGTCAGAGAACTTACGACTACCATTGAAAGCCTAATCGTCGTTCCTAGTATCAACTACGATAACCAGTTCTTATTGACAACGTTTGTGAGATGTCTCCCAGAGAATCTCAGAAACTTGCTGGCCAGCGAGGCACGCCTCGAGTATCACTCTTTTGAGACATTGTCTAGAAAAGCCTTAGATTTGGAGGCCACTCTAGGGAATGCTCAACCTACTCAGAATGACACGAGGAAGAAGAAGAGTCCGCAGGAATGGAAGAAGAAGGGGGCTAAATTGATGATGGTTGAGTCCGATGGGACTCGAACAGAAATTAATGAGCTCACAGACCTGCTGGACGTTTCAGAGTACGACGTCGAGGAGGTCGATGAGGGTAGCACCCTCGCCGCAGTAGTCAAGGCTAAGGCGGGTGGCCGAGGGAAGGGTCATCCAAAGAGTCAAGGGAAGGCCGCCTTCAATCAAACCAAAGTGGTTGATTGGGTCAAGGCAGGTCTTGATCAAGACGTGTGGCGGGACCGCCGAGTGCGTGGCGCTTGTATAAACTGTGGTGAATACAGACGCACCCAATAGAAGTGCCAGAACGCAAAGGTCACGTAGAAGATACGTCCTAAGATGGGGGCATCTTCTTCCCAGGCTTCTAGCTCGGGAAACACGTGAGGCCGGTGGAAGTTTTAGCTGCTTCTACTCAGGGTGAAGTCGGCCAGATACCCTCCCCACTTCATGAGAAGGCCATAGCTAATGACTTTTTAGTCACCCCGCAGACTCATCCAGACCAAACTATGCTCTGTACGTTGGATGTGTCTGAAGCCTTGGAAAATCTGGAAAGCGAGTGGTCAAAYAAGGACCCTCGTGAATCTTGGGTGGCACTAAGGAAGGGTCCTAGAGGRGAACATTTCGTGGTGGAAGTTGATGTAGGAGGCCGCAAATGTGGTGCCTTCATAAACATTGGCTCCACGTGAAATTACATAAGTCGCGACTGTTTGGAAAGGCTGCACCTACAGGACCGGGTACAACACCTTAGTAGACCCGTAGCATCTACTTTGGCCAATAAGGAGCGCATGATAGTCACAGACTATATCAAGGACGTAGTCTGTACCTTCTCCTATGGAGGAGGAGAACTTAATCATAAGATTTCGTTCTTGGTTAGCGACGACTTGCCATTCGACATGTTGTTGGGAATGTACTACCTCGAGGTTGCTAAGCCCCAGTTTGATTGGGATAAGAAGGTGTTAAAACATAAGTTGCCCGATGGCAGAACAGTCAGATTGACTAAGTTCAAAGCCAGTAGCATTATAGATACCTATGGCTGCTTGTGTGCATCAGCGTTCTACAACTATTACAAACAAAACCAAGAGGAGGGTATGTACCTAGTGTATGTCTCTGAGAAAGGGGAGGCCGTTAAAACACCCCCAGAGATAGAACGCGTTCCGTGATCTGTTCGAAGAGCCTACAGGAGTCGTAGAAAAGGAGGTTGTTCACGCTATAGAAATCATTCCAGGGAGCAAAACCCCAAAGGGAAGGATCTATAGGATGGCTCCCACCGAGTTGGATGAACTTCGGCGACAACTGAAAGAGCTGACAGAGAATGGATGGATCCGGCCTAGTATTTCCCCGTACGGATCTCCAGTACTATTTGTACCAAAAAAGGGGGGTACATTGAGGATGTGCATTGACTATAGAGGCCTCAATGCCATCACCGTGAAGAACGCAGACCCTCTACCTCGCATAGACGACCTACTGGATAGGGTGCAGGGATGCAAGTACTATAGCAAGATAGACTTGAAATCCGACTATCATCAGATCGCTATAAGACCTGAGGACCAACACAAGACAGCTTTTCACTCTCGCTATGGTCTGTATGAGTTTGTAGTGATGCCCTTTGGTCTTTGCAATGCGCCGGGAACATTCCAGCACGCCATGAATCGAATCTTCCATGACCATTTAGATAAGTTTGTCATGGTTTACCTTGACGACATTTTGATCTTCAGTAAGTCAGCCGAGGAGCATGCACAACACGTTGAGACTGTACTTTCACTCCTGCGACAGCACAAGTATAAGGTCAACCTAGAGAAGTGTGAGTTTGGTCGCACTAAGATATTATACTTGGGTCATGAAGTATCCGTGGAAGGGATTAGGCCGGAAGATGCGAAGGTGGCTAGTATTTGAGACTGGCCACGACCTCAGACGGTCACTGAGGTCAGATCTTTCTTAGGAATGTGCGGCTACTATAGGAACTTCGTAAAGAACTATTCTACAGTCGCCTCTCCTTTGACGGATCTAACTCGACTTGACACGCCGTGGGATTCGAGTGATGAGTGCGAGGGTGCTTTCAAGCGATTGAAGCATGCACTCATGAATCATGAAGTTCTCATGGTTCCCGATCCTCAGAAGCCATTTATAGTGACCACTGACGCAAGCCAATACGACATTGGCGCAGTGCTGGCTCAACAGGATGGGAAGAAGTTGAGACCGATTGAGTACATGAGTAAGAAGATGCCATCTAAGAAACTGGCAAAGTCCACCTATCAAAGGGAACTCTATGCTCTCTACAAGGCACTTGTCCATTGGAGACATTTTCTGTTGGGACAGTTCTTCTATTTTGAGGACTGACCATCAAACACTCAAATGGATCAAGACTCAACCTGCTCTTTCTGATGCACTCAAGCGATGGATTGAAGTCATAGATCAATATGACTTCAAGCTTGAGTATCTGAAGGGAGAGTACAACAAGGTTGCAGATGCGCTATCACGTAGGGTAGACTACCTAGGGGCGCTAGTTTCTGACTTTGGTGTATCGGAAGAAGTAACTCAATTGTTGGTGGGAGCCTATCAGGAAGACCCTGTCACGATGGACATCATGCGCAAACTTCAGGCAAAAGACAAGGCCACGGAAAGTGAGTTTGTGATGGTGGACGGGCTTCTCTATCTTGATAAGGCCGGAGTTAAAAGGTTAGTTTGTTTTTAGGAGAATGCCATGACGCAACCAGGCACTTTGGTTACAAAAAGCCGAGTGTTAATCTAGTTCAACGATTTTGGTGGCCTGGAATGCTAGATGACGCAAAGAAGTATGTAGAGACCTGTCAGGTCTGTCAGCGGGACAAGCCGCGAACTCAAGCACCGCTTGGGTTGCGGAAGCCCTTACCTATCCCCGCTGGTCCAAGACAGAGTGTTTCCATGGATTTCATGGACACCCTGGTGACCAGTAAGAGTGGCAAGAGGCACATTTTCGTCATCATCGATCGATTCACCAAGTACGCTAGAATAGTTGCAATGCCAGAGACCGCAAGGACTGACCATGTCATCAAGTTGTTCCAGGACAACTGGGTGCGTGACTTTGGTTTACCAAAGACGATCGTTAGTGACAGAGATGTCTGTTTCACAAGTGAGTTGTGGAAGAAAACTGCTGAGCAGATGGGCAGTCAACTTCAGATGACTTCAGGGAATCATCCCGAAGTCAACGGACAGGCCGAGCAGATGAACAGAGTTGTGCAGCACCTGCTGAGGCATTACATCAAGCCCAGCCAGGATGACTGGGATGAGAAGTTGCCTCTCATCGCCAGCCTGTACAACAACGCTGTACACAGCAGTACCGGCGTTAGTCCTAGCCAGCTGCACTTGGGATGGAAGCCTAGATCTGCTCTAGACTTCCTCCTACCTGAGAACCGATCCTCTGCAACTCCAGGCACACTTGAGTATGGTGTGCAGTATGAGAAGTTGCTGCAGCAAGCTGTCAAGCACATCAAGAAAGCTCAGCAAGCAATGATTGCTTCTGAGAACAAGCACCGACGACAGTCCTCATTTCAGGTAGGGGAACGTGTCTGGGTCAAGGCTAGTGAGCTAGGGCAGGAATTCGGGATCTCTAGAAAACTAATGCCACAGTATTTTGGTCCTTGGGAAGTCCTGGATGTAGTGGGGGATGAGATGGATGGCCCTACCTATGTTATCCGTATCCCTGGACACTTACGCACTCACCCTGTCTTTCATGCCTCAAAGCTTGCACCTTTCGCTGAGACTGATCAATTCCCTTCAAGGAGATCGATGCTGCCCCCAACCATGGATGGTCAAGTGGACATCGACGACATTGTGGATCACAGAGATCTGCCTGTGCAGAAGCCATTGGGTAGAGGAAGACCTCCTAAACCCGAGAGAGAATATCGCGTCAGATTCAGGCATCATACGGATCCAAAAGAAGACCGGTGGTTCACCAGAGAGGAACTGATTGACACAGCTCCTCAGGTGGTGGCAGAATATGAGAGAATGCTGAAAGGGAAGGCACCTGCGAAGTAAGCATCCCAGCGGACTTTCGAAGCTAAGGGGGATGGAATGTGAGGATTGAGCCCTCAAGAAGGGGCCTTGCCATGATGTACATGTTCTGGGCTAAGGCCCC